TTCACTCACAGACTCAATGGCTTCCAGATCAGAGGAGGATCTCTGCTGTCAGGTAAGTCAGGAGGTCTTCAGTATTCCCATTGTTCTTTTATGTAGCTACAGCTTCTATAAAGACTGTCTGAAGGGATAGTGGAAAGAGAAAAGTTAGTACATAAATGAGCCACTTGTAAACCTGGCTTTAAAGAACTACTCATATTTTAATATTAGATAAAATTAACTTGAGGAAATGCACATTGCAGTTTTTTAATCAATGAATTTATTAAGGTTTTTAAAAAAAGCTATCCAAACCTGCCTGGCCCTATTTTAAAAGGTATTTTATAAAGTAAGTGACTCCCTTCACCCGGTTAGGCAAAAGTCAACAATCTTCGGTCGACGTGGGTGGCCTTGAATGAGGGGAGAGAGAGTCACAAAAAATAGTCCTATTATCTAGGGGAGAATTTTGTCAGCTTTTACCTTGAGCATCCAGCTGGTGCCAGGGGGGCTGCATGAGACGAAGATGGTAGTTGTTTTTGTTAGTGCGAACAAACTGCATCCAATTTTACAGTAGGTCTAATGTCCGTCACTGGTCACCAGATCTCATCGTTCAATGTCCTCCATCGAGAGTGTCGCCAGACACACGACACAACCGATCATAGAGTATCCGGCAGGGAACGCCTCCAATCGGGATAATTCTTCTTTTATCTTTTAGCGAACAAGTCTGGGAGAGTCTCTTAGGGTTAGAGAATAAGCAACACTATACAAGACATGAGAAGCCAAGCAGGAAAGATAAGGGAGATGGAGAGGGAGAAAGTGCGACAGCCAAGAGAAGAGAAGTGTTTCGGGACCTGGATAACCTGTCATGATTAATGGAATCTTGAATTCTGCTTACTGCTGGCAACCTTTACTGAGGTTCTTTAGCATGATCTTGAACTACCCGTAAATGGCAGGTTTGCCATGCATGTCACCTATTAATAGAGATAGATTGATAATATTTAAAATATTTAAATTTAAATATTTAAAATTGAAATTAATTAATGGTGGGACTTCTTTGAGCAGTGTTGTTGGAACGGGGTCTAAAATACATATTGATGGTTTGGAAGAAGTAATTACTAGAGAGTTGAAGAAAAAGAATAAATAAATATCAATGTATTTGAAAACAGCTACACAACAGACAGTCGGTGTCATAAGCCACTGCCTCTGTTCAAACATGGTCATTAACAGTGGACATAGATGACTTCTTTCACTAGTCTTTTAAACCATCTGTCTTCTCTGTCCAAAATGATTCCAGCATTCAGCTGTCTGCCATCTGTAATCCAGTTTTGAGATCCCTTCCCAGACACCTTAATGCCATTCACATCCTTGGCCATTTGATTAAAGTATCACATGATAGGGTGGGGCTAGCTTTCACAAGGGATTCACCCAAAACCTTGGCTGATTGTGACCTACACCTGTTTTAACACATTGGCTCATGTGATTATGGGGAAAATTTTGGGGAAAATCCCAAAGGGCTTAAAATCTGGGACTGCACACCAAGAAACTTCTTTGATGAGAGATTAAATGCCCTAAATCGTCCATTAGTTATGGTGCAATAGGTGTAGGCTGCTGGGGGATTCCCATCATGTACAGAGTATTACTGTCAGAGGGGCCCAGAGGCAAGAAACTTGAAAGGAACCTAAGAGCAGTAACCCAGATTGAAGGCGGAAGGAATGTTTTAACAAGGTTTATATAACTAATACAATGGTAACATTTGGCAGCTTGTGCTTTGTGCTGGGAAGAGGGGGGAGGGGCAGTAGTTACACTCTCAGTAACACAGGAACAGAGCGGGAGAGAGAGAGAGACAAAGAGAGCCAGGGACAACAACGTCACATTAGAAAGGTATAGTAATCATACACAACTATTTTCAGTTGCAGATGATAAAGGATTCAGAAAGTTTATTCATGCAGGTCCATATGACAGAGAATGTGCATCTTCTTTTTGTTTTCATATTTTAATTTATATTTAATTGTGTTGTGGTTTGCAGTGTTTTGTGTTGTTTCACTTTAAATTTGTTTAAAAGGAAAAAGCTGAAAATTTAAATAGTTAAAAGTTGAAATGTGAATAGTTGGTTTTTGTATTATATGATTTTTTTATTACATTTTATGTGGAGTGAATAAATAAAAGTATATTTATGGTGGCCCCTAGCGACAAAGGATGTACAAACTCCAAAACACGTACAAAAGACAACAGAAGTGCTCCAGGATGCTGGGCGCAGTGTTGAGCTTTTGTTACTTAGTGGCTACACAAGCCAGCAAGTAACAACGACCGGATTTGGTGTGTGGTAGTAACAGGTAAATGAACTTTTTTAAAAATTATTTGACTATATATGAGTGCCTGTGTACAAATACACAAACAATACACATATGCTTTCGATTGTGTAATTTAAGTGATCTAGTAGCTCTGGTTTGGAAGTTCAGTTAACGCTAGAAATGTGTTTTGGAGTTTGTATGTGTTTTGTCTCAAGGGGCCACCGTATATATTTATATATAAACAAATATAAATAAAACCACTTTTTTTTTACATTAGTAATTCTTTTTTTGCATAATTTTGCATTATTGTTAATAATAAATTAATTAAAACAACAAAACAACCTGAAGAGGCTGTTCAGAGCCGAAAGAGGCTCTTTTTAGTGAGGGGGTTTGAAGAGCCGTTTCTCAAAAAGAGACGGAAATCCCATCACTAGCAACATCATCAAGCAAGTAACAAAAGGGTCTGCTAGTTGGGGTGCACTGAGGATAAATCCACTTGGTCATCCATGGCTGTGTGAAATACGTCTTCTCCAGGGGATGTACCAATCCGCATGCTCTGTCCTCTAGATCCACCAGTGACAAAAAGGCATCTGCACACTTAGATTTACATATTAATGCATGGTCAGTCATCCAGGTAAGTAAATCCTCAAAAGTTGACGCTTCACCTCTCATTTGATAAGCTTCTTCACTTCTAAGAGCGACTGGTAGAGAGTCCTGGATTTTTAGCCCTTTCGTAGTGTCCTCCCAAGAGGGTGACAAACCCCCTATTGATCTTCTACCTAACCACACAAGCCAAGGGTGAAAAAAGATGGGGTCACAATCAGCCAAAGTTTTGGGTGAACCCATTGTGAAACCTAGCCCCATTGTATTAGGTGATTTACTGTAGTCAAATGGCCCAGGGTGCGTTCACTATGTGTTTATACACTTGAATACTGAGTACTGAATTATTACTTGTGATTATTCTCTGGGTGTCTTACACAGCATGCCTTTAACCCTGTCTTAACCCTCCCCTCAGACCAATCAGTCGCAGCAGATAAACACCCTTCCCTGAGCCTGGTTCTGCTGGAGGTTTCTTCCTGTTAAAATAAATTTTTAACTTCCCACTTTTGCCAAAGCGCTTGCTCATAAGGGGTCTATGACTGTTGTTTTTTTTTTCTCTGTTGTTTTATTGCAAGGTCTACCTTATAATAAAAGGTAGACCCTGCAATGTGTCTGAACAAAACAATTCAGCAAACAATTAAAAATAATTCTACAAAAAAATTAGCAAAAGTTAAGAACGTACATTACTATGTTCTTACAGGAGAGAGATCAGAAAACTTCAGGGACTCTCTGCAGTCTGCACTCTGAGGAGCTCAAAATCTTCTGTCTGGACCATCAGCAGACTCTGTGTCTCGTTTGCTGTGTTTTAGCACAACACACCAAGCACAGATTCACACCCATCAATGAAGCTGCACAACAACACAAGAAGGAACTTCAGGAAACTCTGGAGCCCTTAAAGGAGAAGTTAAAGGTTTGTGAAGAAGTTCAAGTGAAGTTTGATCAAACAGCAGAACACATTAAGGTCCAGGCCCGACACACAGAGAGGCAGATTAAGGAGCAGTTTAAGAAGCTTCACCAGTTTCTAGCAGAGGAAGAGGAGGCCAGGCTGGCTGCACTGAGGGAGGAAGAGGAGCAGAAGAGTGGGATGATGAAGGAGAAGATGGAGGCTCTGAGCAGAGAGATAGCAGCTCTTTCAGACACAGTCAGAGCCACAGAGGAGGAGCTGAGAGCTGAAGACGTCTCATTCCTGCACAACTACAAGGCTGCAGTGGAAAGAGTCCAGCGCTGCCCCCTGCTGGATGATCCACAGCTGCCCTCAGGAGCTCTGATAGACCAGGCCAAACACCTGGGCAACCTGACCTTCAACATCTGGAACAACATGAAGTACATGGTCTCCTACACTCCTCTCATTCTGGACCCAAACACTGCTGATCCAAACCTCATCCTGTCTGAAGATCTGACCAGTGTGAGAGGAGGAGAGAGGCAGCAGCTTCCTGATAATCCAGAGAGGATTCATTGGTTTTACTCTGTCCTGGGCTCTGAGGGCTTTTATTCAGGGACTCACAGCTGGGATGTTGAAGTTGGAGACAGTGCATATTGGGACCTAGGTGTGTTGACAAAGTCTATGGGGAGGAAGAAAGAGTTATGGTCTGAATTATGGAGAATAGAGTTATTTGAAAGCAAATACTCAGCATGGTCACCATCAGCTGCTCTCACTGCTCTCTCAGTCCAGAAGAAGCTCCAGAGGATCAGAGTGAATCTGAACTGGAACAGAGGAAAGCTGTCGTTCTCTGATCCTGATACTAACACACACATACACACCTTCAGAAACACTTTCACTGAGAAATTGTTTCCATATATTCGCACTCGTGAAGAAGTGAAAGTCTTGCCGTTAAAAGTGTCAGTGTCATGGAGCAGATGAGTTATGGATGTTAGGGATGATTATATTTCTAATGTCGTTTCCTTTCAGTGAAATGTACATTGGGTCCAGATGTAATAATACACCCAATCTAACAGAAGGTTCACATTTGAATGTAAGAATGATTTAAAAAGTGAAAACTCAGCACAGGGTTAAAAATCAGCTTGAGTTGTTACTCAGAGTGAATACAAACCTCAGATGAAAAAATTATAACCGGTTATAATATATCATGCTAATGAATGGAACTCCTGCCACATTAAATGATATTAATAAAATATATAGCAAGGACATGTAGTAGACAATCAGGATTCAATTAAACTTTATATTTATTGTTTTATAATGTGAAAGAAAAAAGCACTTTAATCCAAATATAAATATTCAGTTTATTTCTTTTGTGGTTTAAAAAAAAAAAGTAATGGAAAATATGTGCCGCCGTTATGTATTTAAAATACAAAATCTGAGTAACTGTATTCTGTTACAGTTACCATTTAAAAAGGTTGTATTTAGAATACAGTTACTTTGTTGAAATAAATGGATTACTCGGCGGTATTTTCCTGTTTCATAATGTGGTGTTACGGTTGCCATGATTACAGGGTGCTGCTCTCTCTCTGTGCGACTGTGTGTTTCCTGGGTGAGAGAGCGCCTGTTTGTTGTTGTTGTTGTTGTGCTAAGCTAATAGGCAGAATGCTACAGGCATAGCCCTAAAGAATGTAGCCTCATGGGCAGTGTAGTCCGTGTTGCAGGCAGAATAGAGTGCCATACATGTTATCTGTCTGTGTGCGAGGGAGGGAGAAAAAGGATAGTCGACTGTACACCGTGTTCCTGTTTTCCTCCGAAACAATTAGTTCCGTTGGAGCAGCCTTTCAACACCTCTCTCTGTCTCTCGCTAGCAAAGTTGACCCACACAACAAAGTAAAGGTAGTTTTTGGCTATGAGCCCGACATGAACCTGACGTATTAGCCAGAGGTCCCTTTACTACGGTTTGCAGCCGCGGACCTTCAGTAACAGTAATAAATCACACAGCAATAGTACATTCACGTAGATGTAGTTGTAAAAAGCATGATAATATACTAAGTAATCCAAAGTATTCAGAATACGTTACTGTCATTGAGTAACGTAACAGGATGCGTTACAAAATACATTTTGGGGCATGTAATCTGTAATCTGTAGTGGAATATGTTTTAACACTGCATATAAGGATTACAGTATATTTAAAAAGTGTTTTTCTTTTTGTTTAATTTTAAAATATTTTTTCATAAAAATATGTATTTACATAATGTAAAATGCAAGACAATGAAAATATTTTGCTAACAGATCAACTGAAAACGCCATTGCTACAATGGCAGGCGTTACACTAGGCTGCTCTTTGTTGACTTTACTCTACTCTACTTCTAATAAGATACTCCTGGACAGACTAATAGTAAAACTGCTGGATATCGGACTTCCTTCTACAACGTGCCACTAAATTATAAACTTTCGCTCAGACCATGTACAGAAAGTTAGAGTGGGACCTCATCTTTCCTCTGCCCTTAGCCTTAAAACCGACTCTCCACAAGGCTGTGTAGTAAGTTCCCTACTGTATACCCTGTACACACATGACTGTGTTTGTTCCCACCTTACAACTGTGTGTGGTTCTCCAGCTGCACTACGGCACAAAAAAAGACACTTCAGAGGGTCATGGATGTGTCCTGAAAAATCACTGGACAGCCTCTTCAATCAAACAATCTGCACAACACTGGCTGTCTCAACACTGGCATGCAGCATCCTACGGGACTGTACACACACAGGACACCGGGTGATTAAGGCTACGTCCACACGTACACGGGTATTTTTGAAAACGGAGATTTTCCGTTTTCGTTTTTAAAAATAATCCCGCCCACACGTAAACGCAAAAATTAAGGAAAACGCTGCTAGGAACATGCCAAATCAACAGGTGGCGATATATTCCTAACCTGTAGAAATGTTGGCCAATCAGAAGTCTAATCAGAAACTCTGAAATGCATGTGTTGCAGATTGGCTATAATCTAATCTTTTATAAACCACCATCTCCCTCTGGATGCAGTTAATAAGGTGTGACAATAGTTTAATATTACTAGTTTCTTTTTTTTCCCTTTTTCCTTTTTAACATACATTTTCGAAAATCTCCAGTGACCGAAACCGCCGTTTACGTGTGGATGAAAAGAGCAAGCGCATAGAAAAATGTCCGTTTTCAAAAATACCCGGGTACGTTTGGACGTAGCCTAAGCTGCTGCCATCTGGCAGGAGAGTCAGGCTGGTGAGGTCGCGGACAAACAGATTAAAGGACAACTTTTACAACAGGACAATAGCCCTAATCAATGCAAACAGCTGACCGCACCAGCTACCTACCTGCACTTTTTGGGGGGCAATAATAACAATAATAATAATAATACTGATAATGATAACAATGTGCAATAAGAACACACTCATTCCTTTAATTTATTAAGTCATTCATTTGCTTACACATTTCTTGCACCTTAAAAAAAATCCACTTCAAGTTAAGTTACTGTGTTGTGTTGTCTTGCTTTGTGCTGTGCGCACTGCCAATGATGGACAGTTTCCAATTTTGTTGGAGTATTGTACTAGGTATGACTGTGCAATGGCAATAAAGAGTTGTCTTATCTTCTCTGATTCACTGTTCAGTTGTCCTGCTGTACATAAAAGGAAATACAGGAAAAAAATGTAATTGTATGTGAAAAATATAAATGGTATGAAACATTCCAGGCGTAGACATAAGTCACTTTAGAATAATTTTATCAAAATTGTCTGTTTTTAGATACCAGTAATTAAATTGTTAATTGTGTATGTGTGTAATTTTGCATCTTTTAACATTAAGTTACAACACCATAAACCACATGTAAAGCAACTGGGGTGGGTAAGGGGACTTACACCCGCCGTCTGACTTCGGCGATAAGGGTTTGAAGGCATTTGGAACAGTATAAAGGGTGTCAATTGCAATCAGGGATCAGTTGATCAAATGTTAGTGTGTACATGCACCTGGCTGGCTACAAAACATAAGCACGCAGCTTGGCTGAGGCTTTTTTTCATTATCATTCATTCAATTCATTCAAGGTTCTTTATTTGTCACATGCATAGTTATACAAGTATAACACACAGTGAAATGTAGCCTGACACGCTCCTCGACATGTGCAAAAATGGGGGGTGGAGGAAGAACATTATATATATATATAGTAGAGCTGGGCGATAGAACGATAACGATATGTATCGCGATATAACTTTTACTCGATAGAGAAATTAAGCTATCGCGATAGACCTCGCCGCTCTTGTCCTCTTAAAAAAAAGAACAGCCAATCCAAATTAAGTAG